TCATCGAGACAGAACGAAGCGTACTGTCGGTAGGACGACCTCAGACATTTTTATTAAACTCGGAAACAAGTTTAAAAGCAATTTCTTTAGAGGAGAAGAACACTTTGATAGGCCGAGGACCTACATTATTAGGTTTATCTAGTTGGCTTGATTGCTTTAGTAATTTTTAACGTGTCATTAGAGATTCTGCCTTCTAGAACATAAGAAGAAGATTCTACAATTCCTCGAATGATGACATTTCGAGAACATTGATCACACTCAGTAATCTCTTATAGAATACTTGGTATAATGTCAGCTGAAAAATTAGAGCGACTTTTTGCAGATTCAAGGGTTTCAATGCGCTTAACTAGATTAGAGATTATCCCACGAAATTTGTCGTTTTCCGATTTTAAATCTACAACCTGAGAGGATAGAAGTCCTATACTCTCATTGAATTCAGTAAACTTGGTATTTTGGGATTCGCAAAGTAATTTACACTGGTTAAGGGTTTCAATCTGAGTTTTTTGGTGCTCAGCCATAGTTTTGTTGAAAACATCTATGGTAAGCGAACTGTTTGTTATGGAATTAGACCGGATAATAATTTGAGAGGCAGCATTTGGTAAAGTCGATGTCATAACTCAACTTTAACAAAGTCACTGATCAAATTGTTCCTTAAAAAATTTGTGGATACCACCAAATTTGCAGCAATGAATGTTGAGTGCAAAGGTGATACTATGTAGTAAACTTTGTACACAACCGTTTAAGTCTCCAAGAAAACAACAGAGATGAACAGCTGATTTGTAATTGTTTGGAACAGATGTTGATAAAACGTAGATTATACTCACGATTATTCACGGCCAAATAGAAGATTTATAAATTTCAAACTGTTGTACTGCCTTATATAGTTGAATAACATGAATAAAGGTTGAAAGAATTTTAAAGATAAAAAGCAATACTAGTGCAAAAAGAATAATCAAACACTATAGAAAAAAATAAACTTAAAAGAGAGTGTTGATCACTAGATAACATTTATATATATATAAATTGTTTAAACTTTGGCTTTATAATTCGCTTACTGTTCAAATGTAATTGTTTCGCTTGGAACTTATTTTTTTTTATATTCTCGAAAAATTTATATTAGGATACAATTTGGTATTTGCGCAAAACAATATATTTTGCTAGGGAATGTTTGATAAATTTCAGAATGTATATAAGTTTGTACATTCATTAACAGAATAGTACAGTATTATAACTATGTTGTCCAACGTTTAATTATAGTAACCAATATTCTTATCAAAATTGAATTTTTACATATTCCTAAGAATAATAATCGGTCAATTTTTTTGTAATTATTCTATATTATTAATACAATTATTATAATTAGAATAATTATTGTGTATACCGGGGTCGTATTAATGGGGGATATGAGCGATCGCCCCCCTTTAATCAACCGGTATCAGTGGCCTACTTACAAAAATGTCCCAAAGAGGTTTATGCGCCGAAGACACATGAGGCTCGTAGAGCTCCAGGTTTGGGGTAATAAGCTTTCTTTTGATAAACTTTTCATTGAAATCCATTAGAAGACTTGAGTACACAAAGGATTTAAACAAAAACACCTATGCATGTTAAATTTTTTTTCATTTTATTTTTAATAATGTTCTGGAACGTCTGCATTCTTTAATTTACCAAATTAAAGCTTAAAAACGAACTATTATATTTAAAAAAAAACCTAACACAGTGGGATCGTGGAACAGCGGGTATAAGTATGGATTATATCTGTCTTTGATTAAAATCACCATCATAAAAAGTGATTTAATGCAAACATGTAGATAGTGTTTAATTTTTAGATTGAATTATTAAATAAATCCAAAATATAAATATTCTATTTCTTTATTTCTATCATGAATACAAATTTTATGAATTATAAGTGTAATATGTGTATATAT